CTCCATTCAGGAAACATGGCTTTGATTCCGCCTGCACCACAGCAATCGCGATCCGTGTAAATAAGTTCCGGGGGACTCACACCAGCTTTCTCGTAACGGCCAACGAGACCAGCTGCCATGTCGTTCAGGCCATTACCCTCAGCAGCAGTAAGGACACTCACCAATACCTGACCAAACTCGTTGCCGACGTTGGTAGCCCATGCAGCAGTGAATGCAGCATTCCCGGCGAGTTTCTTGACAATCTTTCAACAGAATAATCCATATTACAAAACTGATTTATTTTTATAAAATTATTTATTTTGGTAGTAATTAGATATAGAATCTATAACTCTATGGTAGGAGATAATATAACACACTTTTGCCTGGTGAAGGATTTGAACCCTCAAATGACTCCCTTCTGAGCAACCACGCTTGAATATTGTGTTATTACTATTTGATCCTACATAGAGTTTGATAAGTTTTTGGAAAGAAAACTCACCTTTTTCGTTGAGTCGATTTTAAGAACTCTTCCAAAGATGGATGTAATCTGAGCCTTGACCTCATCGACACGGGAAAGGACATCCTGACAATAGCTCGTCAACAGCCAATTGGGCTTTGGGACAGGAGTTCGCTGTGGTGGGTTTTCGGGGTTGAAGAGGGTAATAATCCCCCGAGCGCAGGCCTTGGTGAAATGCTGGCAATCTGAGAGGTACTGGGCACACTTTATCAGCCATGCCTCTTCGTGTTGTTCCTCCAATTTGCAGAAGAGCTGGGTGGAGCTGTTTCCAAGTCCCCTCTGCCGCAGTAGGCGCACAACCCTAACATCACAGGCGTACTTGTGTGTCATCAAGACCGGAAACTGCAGCTGGTGTCCAACATCAAGTTGTTTGATGATTGCCGGACTCCAACTGATCAGCTTCCTGCCACATTTGAGACACTCCAGGTACTCTGCTGCCAGAATGTAATAGCCATCCACATCCAGCACCTGTCTCACTCTCGGGTACACACCGGCACTCGTCAACGGGTGTTGTTCACATTCAGGGTGCGGACAGTGCAGCTTCACTTGCCACATCTTTCTCGGCATCCAGAGTAGCAAGCGTTGGGCAAAATACCTGCTCACAGATGGTGGTTGGCTAGGTAGGAGGGATGGTGGAGGGGGGTAGAACCACATTTGGGTGACCTTTGCACTGTCAAACGAAGGTTTGCCTTTGTTCGACATCTTAAACAAGGCAGAGGACACCCACTGGTGGTTGACGGCTGGCAAGGTCTGCTTCCAACCATCAATCAAGCACACACTACTCTCACTAGATTTGGTTGCAGTGCCTACAAGAAATTTATGCTACCTTTAAGATACAACTTCCTATAATACTGAATCTGCAAATCACTAAATAAATTCTATCAAAAATCACTCAAATAAATTTTTTCAAACCTATCGATTTCTCTTGTGCAGCAGCAGCAGCTTCAACCCTGGCGACTGTCGAAAGCAGTTCGTCATGTGGAATGTCATCTGGCACAATATCTACAGGCGACTGAACCGCTTTAACTGTGTTAGAGAAATTGAAATTGTTTTGATTTTGCGGTCTATAATTTTATAATATCTTCAGCCTATTATAATATATAGTTTTGACATTAAAACACACAAACCTTTCAGAGGCACGTTTGGTTGAATGGTCGCATGGGAGAACCTCCTCTTCAGCTGGGCTGCGATCGCTGCAGGGCTGCGGGACGATAACATGGCACTTGATGTTTCTAAATACAATGATACAAACATGAAACATATGACTTACTCTAGACATATGAATAACACAAGCAGAGCACATATTTGACATATTCACTTAATAATTTTAAATATTCTCATATCTTTTGAAATATACATACTGTAGTTTTATATCTTACCTATTTTCTTCAGCCGTTCTTGCTTCTTTGTTGCCACAACGCTGCGACCTTCCGCAAAGCTGTTCAAGTATTTTTTAAATTCGTTCTTGTTGATGGACAACGGTGCTGTAGTCACAGGCTCAAATCGCATGTTATCCACCAACCAGCCAGCATATCCAATGCCGTTTTCCAGCAGCCATTTGAAGGACTGGCCTTTGAACATGCCAAACTGCAGAATATATTGGCCAAGGACATTTATTTCGTCGCTCACGCTCCCTCCGAGCCGTCGAACTTCGGCCTCCGCGTTTGTTCGGACTGTCGTTGCATCCAGACAAAGCTGTGTGCTTTCGCTCGACGACTTACAAATATTCCTGAAACGTCGCGCTTCCTCCGTGTAGTTTAGGGTCAACTCTCCCCTCGAGTCTTTTAAGAATATGGGACGAAGATTCTAAAGCAAAAAATATGAATAAAACATCAATAGATGCTCAAATTCTTTGTATATTTATCGTGCGATATTCAAATTTGACACGGTCAAGTGATCGTAAAATTACGATCGCGTTTGCATGAAAATATGTGAACAAATACGTATGTGAAACCGATCGAATTTCACACAAACCAAAACAAATGTCCTAGGAAATTTTTCTCATTTTACTGAGCAAAAAATTCTGCGAGAAACCATGTAGATTGACCGAAATAATACTCACTTTTGTGCACTCCTTCGAGGACGCCATATCACAACAAGACAAACAGTAAACACGCTTACGAAAAGGAAAAGCCCCCTTGACCAATCAGCGTCGAGAACTTTTGGAAGGTTTTGGAAGACTTTTGGAAGGTTTTGGGCAAATGGAGCATTGTGATTGGATAACTTTTGGAAGAACCTTCCAATAGTCAACAGAGAACATCAGCGTTCTTTTAGCGCAAAAAATCCCACGCAATCTTCCCGCCGGCTTTCCCCCGCGAATTACCACAAGTAATTTGCCTAACATGAAGTACTTAATTAAATAAAGTTGTCGCTGACATGAAAACCGCTTTAGCGATGTAATCATGAAATACAAAATGGCGCGTGTTTTGAAAGTATAAACAGAGGTTAAACAGAGGTGTATATGAGAAATATAACTACAAAAACGTGTTGTTGTTCTTGCCATTATCACCAATAGCGAGGCAAGTATTTTTTTATATATTTCGCTGTTTTTTATATAGCAAATAGATAATTAATTATTTTTTTGGCTTTGGAGGGTTTACCTCCTTCCTTGCTTTCATCCATGCATCGCTATCTAGATATTGTTTTCCCTCCACGGCAGGGCAAAACGTGTCTACACTGTACTGCCCAACATGCCTGCTATGCCCAAAAACTTTAGTTTTTGGAAGTTTGCAGTGTTTGCAAACGTTGAAGCACTGCTTTCTTTCATATTTTCTTTTGTTGGGATCTGGCTCATGAGCCTCGTCTCTCTCCTTCCTCTTTTTTTGGTTATATAGGGTGGTTCTAGGGATGGGAATGGTCGATGGGCTGTTGTATTGGGATGAGGTGCTTGGCGTTGTGGGTGGTTGGAGTTGGGTAGGTGGCTTGGTTGGCAGGCTGGTGATGGTTACAAATTGGTGAGGAGGTGGTGGAGTTGGTTGTGGCTTTGGTAGGAGTCGCTTGGCTGGTGGTAGGTCGGGCTTTGGGGCAGTTCGTGGTGGTGGTTCTGGCAGACCTTGGGTGAGAATTCTGCACTCAATATTTCTTTGACGATCATTCCACCTTAAATGCAGTGAATGAGTACATATAAATTGTTTGATATGGTGATATAATATTTGAATTGTATTATGATACAAGATAAGTAGGTTGCAGCCACTGATCTCAAGTGGTTGCAGCGTGCTAGCTTCTTCGAATAGCCAAAGACTTCAAGTGTTTCAACAGCTACCTAATTGTATATTTTAGGTAGGTGTTGAAACATTTGAAGTCTTTGAATTGCATTATGTTGAACTACCATTTCATCAGTGTCGTTTGATTGAGTTCATACAATTGTATGTTTGTTTCTTTCATGATCAAATCATGCATCGTGACCAGCTCCCTGATGTTATGTTAGCTGGTCAGTATCCGTCTCCACCTTGACACTGATCTCCCGTCAACTTTAATGGGGGAAATAAAGTGTTTTCCAGCTGGGAAACAAGTTGCTCCACAACTGGACTGACATCGACAGCTGTTGCCGGTCCTGAGTCTCCTCCAACCATTGCTCTAAAGGATTGTTATGGAAATTAGATTTGAACTAGTAGGTTGCTTACTTTTGTATGTGTTGCATATTTTACCTTCTTAGACGCACAAGTCCAGGTGTGACTGTCTGGGTGTATGGCGAGGGTGGTTTTCTTTGTTTAAATCTACCTGTATGGGTTGAATCTGGTCTATACCGGGGTGGGTATGCCACTTTTGATGTTTTCAAACCTTCTGGCAGTTACCCTAACCCCAACCATGTTCGTGCCTTCCATCACCAACCTGTTGTTCAACACGACTTCTCGTATTTTTTTGTAGGCTTGGCCAATCGGGGTCCAACGAAGAATGGTTTTGCCATTTGTCTTCTTGTTGGCCGGGTACTTTTGGCAGAGCATGATAAACAGGGACTTGTTCGGTTTCTGTCTTCTCCCCATTTCGATAAAGATTCCGACCGCTATACCCTTGACAGGGAGGACCACTTACAAGAAGGTAAACCTCGCCTGCTTTGGAAGCTGACCTTGTTCGGTTTCTGTCTTTTCCTTAATATTAAAAAATATCTGTCTTCATCTTTATCCTGTTCGTCGTCTTGTAACGGTCAACAAGGGCGGTGGTAATTTGGGTGAGGCCACTTCCTTCAGATGCGGTCAGGACACTTATCAACACTTTACCGAACTCATTGCCGACATTCGTCATCCAAGATGCCGAAAACGCAGCCTTTCCCGTAAGTGTCTTGACAATCTCTAATTATGAAATTATTTAAAAATAAATTAAAAAGATGTTCACAAATTCAACTGATAATGGGGGTAAGCCATTTGTAGATGCTTGGACAAAATATCCAAAATGATACATTTCACCACAGGATTTTCAAGATGCATCCAATAAATGTAGTTCTTGTATATTTATATTGAAAAATATATATATATATATATATATATATATATATATATATATATATATATATATATATATATATATATATATATATATATATATATATATATATATATGAAATATATATATATATATATATATATATATATATTTATATTGAAATATATTTATATATATATATATATATTGAAATATATATATATTGAAATAAAATTGAAATAGGAAAGAGATGCAAGGAAGGGTAATAAATTGAAATAGGAAAGAGATGCAAGAATTATTCTGGTTTGGTGTCTAAAACGACACCATCATTGGTGTGTTAAAGGACATATATATATATATATATATATATATATTGAAATATATTGAAATATATTGAAATATATTGAAATAGGAAAGAGATGCAAGGAAGGGTAATAAATTGAAATAGGAAAGAGATGCAAGAATTATTCTGGTTTGGTGTCTAAAACGACACCATCATTGGTGTGTTAAAGGACACATCATTTTTTATTAACTTTTCTTTTTTTTGTACTTGTCCCCAAAACGTTGCCTCCAAGTCTCGTAAGACTGGGGCATTTCAGGGCAGTACCAATTCCCAAAATATTGTTTGTGGGCATCTGTTCTGTGCTTTCCACATTTGGAACAGACGGCGGGTCCCAATCTCTCTTTGTACCTCTTGGTGGGGACAGCTGCAGTTTGTTCCTCGTTCAGTTTCTTTTTCCTATATGACTGCGTGCTGTATGGCACTTTAACGGAAGGGGAGGATGAGGAAGTTGATGGATGTGGTTTGGAAGGTAGAATGAAGAGGAAGGGTGATGGTTGTGATAAGGGTGGCATCATTGCAGGTTGGAAAGCAGGTTGAGGTGGTATGGTTGGCCGCTGCGGTCGAACTGCTGATTCTCCTGCAGTATTGCCAGGGAAGGTGAACTGGTGCGGGGTATGGTTAATTGGGGCAGGAAGCAGGGATGGGGTTAACGGAACTGGTGGGGGTAGCGGTTCTTCAGATGGAGTATCGTCCATTGGAGGCAAGCCCTGTTCAAGAACGGCTGTCTCTTGTTCCTTTGAACGTTTGTTGTACCTTGTATAGAGAAATGAGCACTTTGAGTTAATGACCTTTGTTAGATACTGTATTTGTTACATATATAATTAGTGCATACCATCGAGTCAAGGTGTTCTGGTTGACTTCCACCAACTGGATATTTGTCTTCTCCATGACGTGGGGATTCGAGATTACAAGATCTCGAATCTTTTTATATGCCTGGCCGATGAGGGTCCACCGCAATACCGTTCTGCCCTCACGCTTTAATGGTTTTGGATATTTGCGGCAGAGAAGAACAAAGAGGGCCTCCATGTACCGGTTGCAGTCGGGTGTTTGGGCTGGCCCGCTGTTCTGACCCTAGCCTGCGAGCAGGCTCTCTGGGGAAAGAGAGCCTGCAAGGATCCCTTTGAAGATTCGGTGCATGCGTCCAATATTTGGACGCAGTGCTCTGATTGGTTTATAACTGATTCATATGAAGTGATTGACAAGCTTCCATAAACTTGCACTTCCCGTTTGTAAAACCGAGCAACGCAAAGCTTCGGAATTGCGGCAATGTAGGGATAAAAGTGTCGTGTATTTTGAAGCTTTGCGTTGACTTTTTACTGTAAATTAATATAGTATTCATATAAAGACGAATACTAAAAGCTTGCATGCTTTATTGTGTCCTTGGCTTGTCTGACTCCTAAGCTAAGAATAATTCTTGAGAAAGACTGCACAAATTCGCAAACCGAAACCTAGGGACAAGGCATTATATCGCTTCTCTTTTATGAAACAATATTGGGAATTCTGATAATATTCAGTGCATATTGTGTGTATTAAGCTTGTTTTACAATGTTATACTGACTATTTAATATTTATAAGTATGCGGCGTTAAAATGTCCAGTAATTTACTCGTCACTTTGTTTACAATAATTATCACATGCATGTTTACTGCAATTCCACTTTTTGTTGCAAAATTTGAACTATAAACATATTATTAAATTATGTCCAATCTCCATGGTATATCATATATGTCTATGTCTCACCAAAGCCATACATTTCAGTAAGTTATATTATTACTATATATATAGACTGTATACAGTGTATATTATATATTGCAGCACGAAGCAATTCCAAATAACTGAATTAGTTAGCGGGTAATATACAACTTTAAACTTACTGTGCCTACAGGAGAAACACATGCAGATTGTAACAAAAAGTACAACTTGATATATTACTCTGTAAAACCTCGAGCCGTTTTAACTTTTTAGTATGCCACAGTGGCGGTCTGTATACGAAACTATTAACGAATTTGAAACGAATCGGTTTATGTTTACAATATCGTAGTGTATTCCGGTCTGCGCTGATTGGTTGTTATTAATTGACCTGTGACATCATAATTGAAGGGCGGCACGCGATCATCATAGGGATCCTTGCAGGCTCTCTTTCCCCAGAGAGCCTGCTCGCAGGCTAATCTCGAGGAACTTGATCGAATGAATTGGACAGCCCGAGGTAATGTATTGAATCAATATTTGAGCAACACTTCAATTGGAACGACAGTAAACTTGGCTTCCAAATCCCGAGTGCCATGAACAATGGCTCGGCTGCGCCTCGCCATTGTTCATGGCACTTGTATCTAGAAACCACGTCTAAAACACTAAATCGGATTTGAAATATTACATCCAACGCTCACGCGTGACGCGTGGACACCACGCTCTGAAACAATATGGCGTTCGCGAGCTGTTGTTTGTAAGTTCGTACAGAAGATTTTACTTATATTTAAATTAACCGAAGATTTTCAAGACGTATTTTACCTTTAATGATCCAAATGATACATGCTCAAATATTTTAAAGAGGAAACGTCAAAAACTCAGGTATACATAAGAAATTAAAAATTGTATTCGCGTAGTTAATATTCAGCAAGTTTTAATGTTTATTCTGAACTTAGTGAGTTCTTTAACTTTCGGTATAATATATCATTTCTAGACCCTCCGCTCGGGGGATTCGGCGATATTTCCCTCAGTGATGATATTTTCTTCGGGGCAAAGGCCCTCAGAAAATATCATCACTTCGGGAAATATTACGCCGAATCCCCTTCGCTCCGGGTCTATAAATGATAACAACCAACTGCTTGGTATATACATGGAGTATCTCGAGGAATCAAATGTGTTCCTTGGTTTAACTTTAGCTGCTTTCGCCAAAGCGACGTTTGTCTTCGCACCATTTTTTGGAATTTTTGAAGTGAAATTTAAAACAATCGCTGTCATATATAGCCAAGCAAAGTTCTCTGGAAATTTATTTTACTCAATCCCTGACAGCGGATACTTCCCTTTGTTTGGAAGATTCATTAGTGGTATAGGTGAAGCTACAGGAGGCGTTTTCTACGGGGCCGTGACAAAATGCACAACCAACAAGAACCGTCCTAAAGCTTTCCTATATTTTGAAAGTCTCCATAGTATTGGTACGATATTTGGCCCTACAATTGGTCGTTTTCTCGCATTCAATGTGAATACACTTGGTTGGGAAATCAACGCGGGGAATTCACCTGGGGTAGTACTGGCAATCGTTTGTTACTCATCCTAACAATGTAGAAGCCAAGTGATTCAGCTCAAAAGGTGAAAGCAGAGCAGATCGATCCGAATTCCAATGGTAACAACATAATCAGCAGCGATAACGAGATTATTGAAAAAAAGGCAATACTTGCATTCCTTCAAGTGTTTGTTGCTTTACTTGCTTATACTATCTTAAAAAACTCATTAATAATTCAGGAGGAAAACACAAAGAAAAATCATAAGCGTGTCGTATCTTTATATGTGATAAAAAATCATGTTAATTTACATAAACTTTAGCTTTGATTTTCTCGGTTTAGACAAAGTTTATTTTAAAAATTACTTCGCCAATGAACTCATATAAGATGAATCGTTTTTTAAGCCATTTAAAGCATTTATAGTCGTGTTTTAAATAGTACAAAATTTCCTGCATAGTTTTTACATCTGATAAAACACTCCTACGCGTGCTTTAAATAGTACTTAATTTCCTGCATAGTTTTTACTTCAAGTATGGTTTCATTCTATACTTCTTTGCTAGCAGTACACCATCTCGGATTGGGACTCAGTTACGTGTAATTGATTTACTTAAACAGTTCATTGTTTGTCTTTATTTTATACATCGTTACCTACCTCTTCTTGGACAAGATCTCAGAGAATAAATATCTTTTTTACGTAGCCCTTTCAGACATCATCCCAATATCAATTACATTTTATTTTGCTCTGATGTGGAACAATGCAAGTGAACTCTTTCTGAGTGAATTCCCTTCTTAAATTTGGTTTGTTGATCGCGTGTTTTCGGCACAGACCACTTTGATATAACTGTATGCACTAACTGCTTTGATATAACTGATTATGTATAGATATGCTTGTATTCATACTTGTTGATATATTAAATAGGAGATATCAGAGTAAGACAGTAATATGAAGATTCTTGTTTGCTACCTAAAAGTCATACAAGCTGACTAACTAGCAATTATGAAGCAATTTTTGCAAAAGTTTTTGTTGTCCAAATTCTTCAATTCGGTGCCAGAAAGTGCAGGAAATGGAATTTCTGCAAGCCTCAATTTTTCAAACCTTTCTGGGAGAGCATGCAACCATACTGGCCTCCCTCTCCTAACTTTAAATATTTTCTATGCTACTGCTGTGACAGTTCCATTATGTTTTGGTTGTCGTGTTTACACCTAGCTGAAAACTAGCCGGCCAAGCTTAAGCTTAGCTGAAAATGAGCCCCCCGCCACAAAATAGAACCCGTTCTGCCGCCACTGACACACACTTCGTGCTTGTTTCGGGCCATAGCAGCGAGCAAAGTACCGCTCATTATAGCCCAAGGTCGATGCCGTCGATTCCATCACAACTAGAGAATATTTCTGATTATCGAAATATGCAACGAGCACTCGCAAGACTAGCAATTCGGCAAGTCCCAACTCTAGATTTCAACACATCGATCACAGATGTGACCTCGAATACAACTGCAAACGTGACCCTGTCAATGTCACGTTTTCCAGCTGGTTTCTTCACTTCGTGCAACATAGAGAATGTTCAAGTGCCCCTCACTGTGAATGCTGGCCGGGTTTTATTACACATTATTTTTTATTACAACGCATTGTTTTGTTTACGCTTTAAAAAATTCCATACAGTCATAGAAACAAGCTTCTCGTCCAATCAACGCTCGATTACTATAAATGTTATGTTATAACAAGCATTCATTGTTATGTGGCATTAATTATTACATGGAGAGTTTTCAGCCCGGGCTGAATTTCAGCCCGGTTAAACGAGCTGAAATTTCATCACGATTACATGAGCAGTTTGAGCCCTGGTTTGAGTCTGAGTTTAGTCAGAGCTATATTTATAGTCAACTCGGGCTGAAATGTCAGCCAGGGCTGAAATAATCTGAGTGTCACGAAATAGGACAATAAGCCTGTTACGCTTCTTTGAAGCAATCAGACGCTGATTAGCAGGGGTGGACTGGCAGGTCGGGCTCATCGGACTTTTGAAGGACGTTTTGGGCCCCTTCTAATTGGCCTAAATGTTATTTAAATAAAATAGCTAGAAACTCCAAATCATAAGCATAAAATGCGGGAAGCACGCTTCAACCGCTTTTCTCGCCCGACTACGGCCCCTGCAATCTTTTCTCCCTAGTATTTTTCTTTTATAAATACACAAAAAGATACTAAGGGATGGCTTTGGCGGGCGCCAAAACGAAAGACGGGATAAGCGGGCGTAATCTGCAGCTGCTGCAGAGACGCGTGATTAACTCGAAGGTATTCTCGGGTTGGTGTGCAAGTTTTCAATTTAAAGCAATAAAAACTGTAGTCATATACTAGAAAAATCGATGGGGCGACACTGCATGTTAGTATATTTTTAGACCTGCGACGCCTCATTTTTAATTCAACAGCCTCATTTTATCGCGGATCGCGTAACGAATGAATGAGTGGACTCAGTGTTTGAGTTCAAAAATTGGAGCAGATAAGCTAATTAAGAAGCTTACCAGCCACCATTGGAAATGCACGTTGGTGGGCCAAAGCAGGCGCGATTCAAAAAATCTTTGGGAAGTGTGATGACAATATGTTTTGGTTTCGTGGTTAGAAATTGCAAGCAGTTTGCTCTTTGACCCGCTTTCCAGAGGCGAGACAAAAACTCTAATAGATAAAATGCTAAAGTTTGAGCCGATTCAACGGTCACAATCTTCAACAGGATATTTTCAATTGCAACACCACTTTCCGAATGCCTTCAAACTTGTGGCTTAGATCTTCTTCAAGCATGGAGAATGATGTTCAATCTGCTATTAGAAAACTTGAAATGATCAGCAGAGATTTTCCAACTGTCCCCAATATCGCCACACAGTTCGCAAAGAAAGCGAAGAGCGAACTGGCTTTCTTTGATACCGATGTTGCAGTAGAAGAAAGTCTACCATCCAAAGCGACGAAAAGAATTCCAAAATTGGAACGATGAAAAGGATGACACTGACAATAGGGCGAAGGATGCTGTAATGGATCAAATTGTAACAAGCACCAATAGTGGATTTTCCTGTTTGGACCCTCGCCGATTCGATGAATTCAGAAGACAGAGGCTGCCTCAAAATGCACTGGAAAGTCTTTGTGAAAAGATTGGAAAACATGTAGACCCAATTCAGTTGAGTGAGCAGTTTGTAGAGATAAAAGATTAAAATAGGATAAGGTAAATTTATTGGGGGGCGGGGTCAGGGCCCCCACCTAGCCAAATCGTCCGGGGCCCCTTGATGTAGCCAGTCCGCCCCTGCTGATTAGTCGACTATTTGACTTGTGTGAGACTGTGGTTATTTGTAAAGTATTTAAAGATGAAACACAAAAAAAAGCCATTAAAACGGTTGTATTTTTAGCCCAGGCTGAAATTATTTGCGATTACATGCTGCCGGTTGAGTTTCAGCCCGGGCAGCTCAAACCGGGCTGAAATTTCAGCCCGAGCTGAAACTCAGTCCGGGCTGCAGTTTTGCGGGTCATGTAATCGCTTGCTGTGTTTTGATAAGATTTATCCTTAGGCCGGGCTGAAAATTCAGCCCAGTTTGAGCTGCCCGGGCTGACATTTTAGCCCTCCCCCCTGTCGGAGACAGGAGAGTCCCTTTATCGGGTTATTCCTGGCGCCTCTGCCCCCTCGAAAACTATGCGATTACGTCCATAGAATGCGATGTGTTACGAGAATGGTTGCAGGCTTCAACTTTGCGGTTGGAGGTATAACGTTCCAGTTGTATTCATTTTACGGCTCAGGCTAAGCTCGCAACATCAGCAGACGTTGAGATTTTTCCTCGCGAGGTGAAAAATATCAAACATGATAGATATTTTCCTCAAGGCCTCGAGAGGTTAAATCCTCACGTAAACTATCCGCACACAGGAGAAACATGCTGAGCTAGCACCCACGCGAGACGGTTAGCTCAGCAAGTTTCTCTCGTGTGGGGCAGGCTTAAGACATTAGCCCGAAAATTTGAAATTTTAATGAACGTATTGCAACTGATGAAAGTAATAAGCAAATTCAAAGTTTCCACTGTGCTTCTAAATGCCGGGATAAATCGCAACTATAGTTCTCTGGAAAACTATTTTACTCAACATTAATATGCAGTTGCCTGAGGCCCTGAGACTGGAAGAATTAGAATATGCATATATCAAAGTACCCAACTGTTTAGTAATTGTTTATATATGTTTGTAAACTATTATGTATTTAGTAATCGTTTGAATATGATCAAGCAAAAAGTTGCTCATGCAAAGAACAATTAAAACAATTTCCGCACGGTTGCCTGAATTGAATTGAATTTATTAATTTGCCACAATTGGTTGATACAACAATTTACAAAAGTAATAAGATAGAAGAGACAAGAAATGAAAAAATTGTGACGAGGTAGTCCAACTAGAAGCCAAGGCTTATTAAGGGGGGAGTTAACCTTAAATATATGGTGTAAGGAAAAACGTCATAGTTCACTAAGTTTACATCAAAACCCCCACAAACTATATATTGGCAGAAAGCTTATGCCCTGAGGAATCTAAAAAAGCTATTTACTGCACACAAGAAGCCATATTAAGGTGGCTCTGGGCCGATTACCAAATTTGCAACTAGGCTATATTCAAGAAAGGATTG